TAGGGCTAGGTAACACTAGTGAACTAAATATATTGATAACATAGAAGACGATAAATAGAGAAGTAATGCGGAAGTATTACTATCAACGATGATTATGATGGAGTGATAGATAAAGATAGGCTCATTAGGGCTAGGNNNTAACACTAATGAACTAAATATATTGATAACATAGAAGACGATAAATAGAGAAGTAATGCGGAAGTATTACTATCAACGATGATTATGATGGAGTGATAGATAAAGATAGTAGCTAACAATTGTTTAGTACTACTATCAACGAAGAAGTTCTACTACATATTTAGCTCATTAGGGCTAGGTAACACTAATGAACTAAATATCAACTCCAGCATGTAAGTACTATTATCAACGGGGGGTTGTGGTGGATTGACAAATACTACTTTATCCTTAATCAATAATTTTGAGTTTGAATCTCCATAAATTCGAAATCGTCTTTGTTAGAGAGCACATTACTACGTAGCAAATTAATGATAAAGCATTCTTTTAAACAACCAAACAATGATAACATAAAAATGCAACATTACTTTTTAGAACTAATTAAATAAATGACAATTCAAGAACTTCTATTCTATTTATAATTCTTCCAATCCAGGTTCTTATAGAATAGCTACAAAGAGACCCATCTTCACCTTATTCTACTTTCCTTAGCCTCTAACTCAGGCGTGGTAAAATAAATAGTTAGTAAAATCGACCCTGATCAGTATAGTTAGATAGTTAGAGTTTGTAGTTCCTTCAACAATTCTGAAACGGAAGGCTCAAAGGAGATGGCTCTTCATTCTTTTCTATTCATATCGCGGTCAATCGTCATAGAGGACCTATATATGAAAACCAAACCACTACAACATAACTTTTTAGAACTAATTAAATGAATGACAATTCAATCTAAACTACCAAACAATACCATGTTTGGATACATAAATAAAGAAGATAAAGCATGATAAACAACTAAGGAATATCATAAACATTCAAAACAAGAATTGACATTTTGTCCAAATATAATTATACCAATAATGTTACTTACAATATATATCCTACTATGTGTTATTATATACTACTAATAATATCACATAACCAGTAGTTGTTTCACTTATAACTATGCTTATGCCTCAAATTTTCTCCACAAAAACAAGAAACTAAATTTAAACAAAGTTGACTAAAATAGAATCAACCATGTATTAAACCTTAACCACACCAAAAATTATTGGCATTTCCACAATTTCCTCCTAACCATTTATTTTCATAATTCACAAATTAAATAATATTTACACATATAACACATTAACCCCACCTTTGAAACTAGGCAGAAAAACACATACAGAAGAATCATCCTCCCTACAATTTGATTCTTCTGTATTAGAACAAACACAAATAAAAAATAAAAAATAAAAAGTTCGTTCCAATCGAAATTTATTATTATTAAATCGAAAAAAGAAGAAGAAAAAACCCCGTCATGGGGAAATTTTGTTGTTGCAACTGTATCTTTAGTTGTGTTTGCGCATGCATTTTTCAGATACTTTGTGTGATTATTGTCATCTTTGGCATCCTTTTTCTAGCCATTTGGCTCATTTGGAGGCCCAATAAGGTCTATTTCCACGTGTCAGATGCCTCATTGGCGAAATTCGATTTCTCTCCATCAACCAATACCCTTGATTATGACCTTAACCTCAACTTCGAGATAAGAAACTCCAATGAAAAAATTGGCGTTAAGTATGAACTCATAGAGGCAAAATCGAATTTCCATCAAAAGAAATTTGCCACAACGAACTTTGAATTGTTCTCTCAGGATTCTAAGAACACGACTATTTTGCATCAGGAGATCAAGGGTCAAAGCGATGTTCAATTCGGAGATAGAGAGAAATCGGATTACGAAAATGAGAAGAAAAATGGAGCTTTTAATATTTACACAATGTTTAACGTTCACATGAGGCTAAAATCAGGTTGGATCACAACGGGAAAGATTAAGTTTGTTGTTGGTTGTGGACTAAAGGTTCCACTCAAGTCTGATAATACATCACCTTCTACTTTTCAAAGAACCAATTGCATGGTCTTTCCTAGTTGGGCCTCGTAATACGTCAGACTTGATATGAAGAGTTATCAGAATTAAACCTTTGACAAAGGTGTGTGAAGTTTTTCTTTTATTATTGTATGATTTGAAATGCTATTCATCCTTATATATATCTTTAAAAGGATGAAATGTATTTGAATAAAATATAATTCATACAGTCGATCGATCCTCAAGTTAATTGGGATTTGATATATAGTTAGTTATTGATGCTGGATTTTCTTTCATTTCTAGTTTTGTTTTGTGTTAATTACTCAAAAAATTCAATATATCCTAATAGACGGAGTTTATACATATTAAGTGATCATTTATACATACAATCGAGTTTGAGCCAAAACTACTAAAAAAAAATTGTCGAATCCTTTATGAGAAGCCTAGCCTTGATTGCGTCATATGTCGCGAAACCAATAGCCGTGGAGAGAACGATTTTCATGTAGTTTATGCAAAGCCCCGCAAATAATTGACTCCAACCTTGATTGCGTACAATGGAAGAAATTAAAGACCGTTGAACATATTCATATTTTGAAGGTAAAGCGCTCCGTTTTGCAATGTAGGTTCATCTGCCTCCTAACCACGTCCAATGGATACGTAAATGTTTGTCCAAATAAGCTATAGCTAGAACGCCATAAGAAAGATGCATCAAAATGGACCTTTGGTGATCTTCAGGAACACGCCTCTTTATTTCCTCGTAAGTATAAAACTTCAATCCATAATAAGGAAAAATACCAACAAGTGTAGGCCCTATGCCTCTATATTGTGCATGTAGTCCCCCCTTCCTTTGGACCGCCTGCATGACATGTTTAACACCATTATACGAATGATGTTTAACATGTCCTTGTGTATCCACAACTTGATAAGCCAACTTGGTACGTGCCAAATCAAGAGGATAGGTACCCAAAACCGTAGTTCCTACTACTGTCAAGCCAGCTAAAAGATCTACTAACGACCAGATCCCCACGACATTAGAATCGTAGTTATTCAAAATCCAACCACGATACCAATGCAGCATAGGGAACAATATAATTCGAAGGATCACACTAGCTCCATTTCCTTTGTAGAAACCTACAACGCCTTCACATTTCAAGATCTTCTTTAGAGATTGATAAACTCTGAGGGAATTAAAGAGTTTCGTCTTTGTCTGCTTAAGTATTTTTACCCGCTCTAGTGGAGCAATCACGATTTTGGCAAATGCACCAGCACCGCCACCAGCAATTAGCTCATTTACATATATAGGCAAACCATCAAAAATTGAAACATCCTACATGTCACAAAAGATACTCCTAGTGAAAATTACTTTAACAATATTGTGTATTTCATCTCTTTTAATTTACGTGATCCTATTTTTATATTTGAAAATAATTTAACCCGAATCTCCTTCTTGTGCATCTATCTCCGCCCCTAATGAGTTATAACTATATGGTGAAATGGTCTGGTGGACCCTTGTACTTGTATGCGTTTGTATTGTGAACCCTTCTACTTACTCATTTGTCATCTGAACCCCTGAACTCATCAAAACGCAATATTTTAAACACATTTTTTGACTTGGCATCCTATGTGGCAGTTACTACTAAAGAGCGTGTGACACACACCTATTAGGAGCGTGAGACCCTTGGAAAAGGGTCTGACAGACACATTAGGGCTTTGTAAAGTCATCATCTTCCTATTTGCATCTAACACCATTGTTGGACAAAATTTGAGGTTTTCTTGGCCTTTTTTCCGATCTTTTTCCCAAAAATTTCTTCTCTATCGTTTCTTGTTATTATACGGCTCTCTTTTTCTATGAAAAACACCATGGAAGGCATAACACTACTACCGAAATATCTTACACTAACATTAGGCACAAAAATGCAAAATCCCCAAAGAATTTCAACAAAGTCAATGTAATTGATTAAAACCCCAAAACCAAACAGAGACACAAATAGAGATCAAATCCAAACTAAATAACAAATAAATTCGAAAACCTACCTAGATAAGTTGAAAATCAAACAAAAAAACTCGAATAATTTTTGATATTGACCCCTTGTTTCAGTTCCAAACCAAACCCAAACTTATTGCCTTCTTCTCGTCCTTGTCACCTTCTCCGACCAAACTACCTTCGTTCTCACCATTTCCGACAAGCTTCAACCAACAACTATAAATGAGAACCAACAACAACAACAACAACAAAAACCCCAAACTAACTCCGCCAATAAGTCTCGACTTTCACAACGCCGCCAGTTGTGAACAACTAGAAACAATCAGACCACCCAATAGACCCCCACTTTTCCTTAGCGCCACCGGTCACCACCAAAACCCCAATCCAACATAACCCAAAATCAACTCCGAACTCCAACGAGATTGTTAACAACCAGAAATCGTGCCAACATTTTTTACTTCAATGGAAAGAGTAGAAGAGGTTAACAAAAGGAAAAGGGTAAAGAAGATAAGAAAAAGTTGAAATGAGATTGTGGGGATGGTGATGCAGATGGCTATGGCAAAGAGAAATAAAAATTGGAAAGAGAAAGTGTAGGTATATTAATCAAATATAATAAAAGGAAAAATGACATGGAGTGACCATATATACATGTGTCATTTTATAATCATACGTGTCATTTTATAATTATTTTTAAAATTACGTGGCAGGCGTTTGTGATACACACACAGTTGAGTGGTAAAAAACGTGTTTAAAATATTGCGTTTTGATGAGTTCAGGGGTTCAGATGACAAAGGAACAAGTAGAAGGGTTCACAATACAAACACATACAAGTACAAGGGTCCACCAGACCATTTCGCCTAACTATATTTATAAAGTCTTTCTTTCTTCGTTAAACTTTGTTTTTGTTCAAATATATGCTTAATTACCACCAGGGGGGTTACAAAAATTTATCAAAACAAAAAGAATTCACTCTATTTTGCTCTTTAAACTGCAATAAGCTCAAGATAGAAGTAATAAATCAACTTTGACATTACAAAAATTAAATTTAGCACATTATACATAACATTATATTTTTCCCAGTTAAGGGGAAATACCAAATGACTACTTAAAACAACGATTTCTTTTCCTACAGAGACAGATTTTACAGTATCTCTCTGGAACAGGAAGCAGCAAATTATGTCTGCATTTCAACGATCGAATACATGACTTGCAGCAACGATCAACTTCTGTTAGTGCAAGCGGGAAGAGGCGGAGGCTTCAAAGTACATATTCTGCTGCACGTTGATCAGTCCCCTAGAAGGGTCCGTTTTTTAGATGTGTTCATGTAAGGCTTTATGACCCACTCGATTTGAGCTTCGTCTTGTTCCATCGTTCCTAATTTGATCTACATTTAAAAACAAGTAACTTGATCAGGAATGAGCTTATATCAGCAACAAATACAATACGGATCAAGGTAATCACACATTCCTAACAACGTAGCACGAAATTCATATGACAAAGAGACAGGGCAAGTGTATTGAATAAAGCACATTTTCAGGGACTGATTCTTCAAGACCAAAACAAATCTGTTAACTAATATGATAAATTCTCGAGCTAGATAAAACACATATTAGTGAACTCCTGGAGAAGAGCTTAATATCACTTCTGGTTTAGTTTCTTGCAGCAACTTTTTTCTCTTTTGTCGTTCCGAATAATTTTATAGGAATATGTAGAAGTGGAAAACATAGGACTGGCAACTAAAACTAAGTCAAGATTACACAGTTTCAAGATTATTAATAAACATGGATGCAAACAAATATGACGAACCAGTTTTGGTATAATTATTGTCACCTGGTAAAGCCGTAGTTCAAATCGAGGGCCAACCTCTTTCAGCTCAATTGATTTTGGACCTCCATTCTTTTCATAGACGTGATGTCTGCATGTTTCAATCAAATTTAGTATAAAAAAAAGGGAGGGTGGGAGCTGTATATTCGGTAAATTATCAAATTTATACCTATTTTAAACTATCCTCTGTCAGTTAACAAGACAACCAAGGGATAGCCTAGTGGTAAGGACCCTCCACCAGAGGATTATTCGAAATCTTAGTGAAACACTGGATTTCTTATCTCATGCATGCTTTTCATGAAAAAAAATACCGATTGAAGTGGAGGGTTTCTTCAAACAAGGGACTGGTTCAACTATTCAATCAAATGATATTGAGCATGTTTCTCATCTCTTCTCGAGAAACAGGTGGGGGTTATTTCTTTGCAACAATTCCATATGTGGCAATCACACTAAGATCGAACCATGTGGTTGGTGGTTTGAGTCAATCAAGTGAGTAAAGTGGGAAAAGCTACTGCTCCCTCCTGCTGGACAGGAGAGGTAATGAAATTTAAGCAGGATGTCCCAACTTGTATCTTGCATGGTCTTTGTCATAATCCATTTGTCTGTCTATTTCTCTCATCTTTTAACATTTTGAGAAGCAAAAGTATGTAGCATATCATGGATTTAGCCCCTTTTCTATTTGTTAGAATAGTTCAGGAAAATCCATGGGCCTCACCATACAGAATAAAAAATGGTTAATGATTTCTGACGGAACCTAGGTTGCACGTACTCTTCCCTTACGTTGTCGCACCTGTGTTGAATTCTCCAAAAACACTATTTGGGAGAATCCGACACGCACGCATTGACATTTTTGAAGAGTCCGAGCAACATCGTCTGGAACAAAATGTGTAAAAGGCAAAGCTAATGACTAAAACAACTAAAAGAGACATCCCTAAAATGATGAACTTCAAAAAAACACAACAAAATGTTACAAAAGAAAAAGTCTAGAACATAGTCTGGCACAATCAGCGAAGATATATCTAATTGTTTAAGGATAGCTAATGCCAAAGCAATAGTTTACAAGCTTCATTCTGATTGTATGGCTTCTATTTGCCAAAATGAGAAATCTGTGGATCAAGGATCAAAGGGAAAATATTGCTGAGCCATAATCCCCAGCATGCCTTGTACTTAAGTAAAACTAAACAGCAAAACTAACAACCTCCATTGCTAAAATAGAACTTAATGAGACTGAACAAGAAACAAACCTGAATGAGATGTAGTCCGACTGGTTAGCAAATGTGAGGATACGTTTCGTATCAGGCTTGGGCACAGGAAACAAATGCTTTAGGATGTTTACTGTCCTATCACCAAGCTGCATGATCAAAATATCCCCGGTGAGTATAGAACAGTATATAAGATGCTACACTAAGAAAACAAAGACTCTAGATATTCAAGAATTATCTAAACATCCAGTAACTGATTTTGGCAACATGATCATTTAGTTTCAAAAATCTCAGCTTCAGTAGCAAGTCTACTGAAACGCATGTGTTTCACTCTTCATCGAAAAACGGATGTCAGGAATTACCTTAGTTGAAAATTTGTCAAAAATCAAATGTGGATACGCCTCAGACATCGTTCCCATAGATTTTTTGTCCTTAATATCATGTCTAGTCACCTGCATGAAAAATAGTAGATGAGGACATCATCTTACAACTCACATAGACAGCAGAAGACTTCTGCGCTTAACAGGGTAAGAGTAAGACCACATACCACATTGAGCAATCCAAAGTAAGCAGTTGGACCAAAAGGCAGATGACTAATGACAATACCATCAGGCACACCACGATTCTCATGGACCAAAATTACATCTGTAAAATCATGAGATCGGCAGGTTTCAATTATTTCTGATATAACCTGAAAAAAAAATATAAAAAAATGAGCAAAATACAAACATATGATAAACAAATAGAAGATAATTGTAAAACCATAAATATCTTGAAGTTATGCTGCTTGGACTCTCCAAATAACTCAGTCACACCGTGTCGGATGCTTCAAAAATGCACTACGTTTGGAGGATCCGACATGCAGCAAGATGACAATTTTGAAGAATCCAAGCAACATAGGCTTTAAGAACTAAATAGCTTGTTATGCAAGCACAAAAATGTTAATAAGACAAATCACTTTCCCTGCACAAACAAGGGGTCTAAGAGTCAAAGAATCAGAGCTCTTTTCATTAAAAAACAAATATGAGACATCCATGGCTATCTGTTCTCTTCTTTTTATATTCACTTATTTTTTTCTAGAAAGTTTGCAGGAGTGTGTATATATGTGAGCCTGACACATTATTATAGTATTTACTCTCTGTGTTCCAGTATACATGTAAGACACAAAAATGTACATATACACATGTTTAAATTGCAATTTAAACGAATGGAACACCTCTTCCTATTCCAGCAAGAAGTTAGAGATAAAGTACCAATTCTAATTATGAATCTTCCAAGCTGTAAGCTCCCAATATCATCTCTAATAGCTCGTAATGATAGAAATATCAAACAAGAAAAGAATTCCCAATAGCAGACCAACCTGACCACCACGATTCATCCGCTGAGCATTAGGGAACACAATTTTCAACTCCTGTCTCCATACAACAACATGGAAAAAGGAAAGAATAGGACATGAGAAGTGTCTAATTAAAAAAATATAGTTTCCAATATAATGACTTCTAAAAGAAAAAGTGAGAAGGGGATAGTGGACTACGTAATACAATAACCGGATAATTGAAGGGTACACCAACCTTGACAAACTGAGTAAGAGGAGCACTAGGATTTCTTGAAGTGGTAAGCAAAATTTTGGGATCTTTTTCAGGTGCATTAGCATATTCATCATCAATAGTTGATCGAGGTACTGCATCAACATCATTAAAAATAGACAAAAGCCTTGTTATAGCAAAAACATAGCACATACAACTACAACTCAATACGAATGTGTAATTAGAGAACATTTCAACAAACCACTATGTTCTACTTGTACGTGCATAGTCTACAATTCCCATCGGTGCATTATTAACAAAAGAACAAAGAGAGAGAGAGAGAGAGAGAGATGTTGTCATAGAAAAGGCATGATGAAGATACAAGCATTAAAGAGAGTTGTAAAGATTTCCGACAGCCAATAATTTCTAGTTTATCAAAGGTTTCATATCCTTCCATCATCTTGTTTACCCTCTTCGCTTCTCTCTTCCTTTTCACATTCTACAAGATTTAACTCACCAAGAGAATAGACAAGTGAAGAAAAACTCACGAGCACATAAAAACCTCTAGAAACTATAAAATCTTACATCATATATATGAAGATAAAAAAAGATACCTTTTCTTCGCATTCAGCCAAGGAGACCAATGTACCACTATTTCAAATCAATAACCCACTACACCACCAAGTAAGGATGTTGAAAAAGTGCATAAAGTGGATGAAGCTCGAGGCAAGCTAAGGACATTGCTTCCAAGTATGTTCGTTCCAACTTCCATTAACTACTAGGTAGCACCCTAAAGACTCTTATAATACCTACCACTACCAGCTTCCTTTACCCCAAAGTTACCACCCTGTGATGCACGACACTGCAAATTAAGCCAAAAATCCCAGTAAACATATCACCTTTTCACCTACAATTAAACAACAAAAACCACTTCCACCCCAATTCAATCATGTATCCCCATAACAAAGACTAATACCAAAAATTTTGTAGCTAGATTAATTCGATTCCAGCTCAATTAGTATCATAATCATACAAACAAAACAAGGGAAAAACTGAGTAATTAGCTTACCAGCAGTAATTTCATCTTCAAGATCGATTTCTTTCCGAAGAGCAGCTTCTTCGTTCCTGAGCTCAGTTGGAATTGGTTTTCCCTCTAAATATACCCAAAATCATCAAAAACCCAAAAACAAAAAGCACAAAAAATAAAATTCTACAAATTTCATGATTTTCTGATTAAATTTGTAATGAAAACTGACCCTCTAAAGCTTCTCTGATTTTGCGTTTCTTCTCATATAGCAAACGCTCCTTCCCTTCTAAGCTTTTCCTGTATAGGTATTCTCTGCGCAGCCTAATGTTCCTTCTATGCATGGTGGCTTCACAAACGTCGTCGTTTTTCAAGGTTTTTCTGGTTTTAGGGTTTAAGAGATTTTGGGGAACAAGAAAGAGAGGGTTTTGTGAGAAGACAACAATAAAATGGGCTTCACTTTTATTAGGTATCCCGGGCCCAATATTAAATATTGTATAAGAGCATCATGAAAGTATTCATAATGTTAATTTCAAGGGCAAATTACAGAAATCACAAACTTTTAAGGCAAAATTATAATATTTCTCAAAAGTTTAAAATTACAGAAATCCCTCAAACGGATAAAATAATATAAGCGTTGATACAGTAATCTGATGCGCAAAATACATTAATCGTTAAGTAAGATACATTACATTTTATATATGATAAACTTGTCACGCTCCAAACTCGAGGGGCGCAACTGGCTCCTAATGCCAAAACACAGGCCCGAGACGACCCTGCTGAACCATTTGCTACTAGCGCATGGCAGCCACACGCAATCAAGAAATCAAACAAGTATATCTCAGCTTAAAACTAAGTCATCAGCCGGCAAGGCCCCTATCAACTGATCTATAAAAGAAACAGATACTCCCAGGAGATCATATAAATAAATAGCCAACTAGCACATAAGTCCTGATTGGGCCGTCGAGGCCACCATGATATCTATACCAAAATTAAAAGCA